CCCCCCCCCCCCCCCCCACACCCCCCCTGTAGCGCCGCCCCTGCCCTAATGAACAAAATTTTGATCTAGACAAACATTTCACCACAGCTTAAAAGAGCATCACAAAATTAGTAATATTCCGAAGTTTCGTTGCGAAATGTTGTAAAATGCGGATAATATAGCCCTGCGAAGTTTGCCGTTTTTCAGTCATTTTGTATGACAAACGGGAAATTGATACCTTTTTCGTTATCAATTTCGTGTGCGTAATACAAAATGATTGGAAAACGGCAAACTTCGCAATGAGTCATGATATAACAATATTGTTACAACCTTGTGTCGTCAACCTTGTTAGTAACATTCTTGTTATCATGACTGTATCAGACATGTTAGAACAACTTGTAACAAGTCTGATATAAATGCCATCACGTTTGTTACAAGATGTGAACAGCTTGTTACAAACTTGTTACAACAAGTTTGCAAGGCACACGTAAAAATCTCACATCTTGTAGCAAGTGTGCAAACAACCCTTCAACAAGTTGTCTTCGCACTGCTTGTCCCAAGTTGTCAACAAGTTTGGAACAAGCTGTTAACAAGTTGTGACAACCTTGCTGATACTATCAGATTTGTCGCAAGGTTGTTCCAACAAGTCCGATACAGTCATGATATAACAATAATGTTACACCCTTACAACAATATTGCTATATCATGATTCTATCGGACTTGTTGGAACAACCTCGCTACAAGTCTGATAATATCAACAAGCTTGTTACAAGCTGTTACAAGCTGTTAACAGCTTGTTTCATACTTGTTGACAACTTGGGACAAGCAGTGTGAACACAACTTGTTGACGGCTTGTTGGCAGACTTGCTACAAGATGTTAGATTGTTGCGTGTGTATATGAGAAGATTGCTTCTACTAACACCAGTTTAATTTTTTCTGTTATTTTTCTGTAGGAACATTGAACCGTCTCCATGAATTAGTAGGAATGGCACTTATTGCAACACTACGGTGAGTAATCAGTCAATTTCATATTAGGGCCCTCGTAAAAACTGTAGGTTTGTAGCAAGCTTGTTAACAAGTTGTGATAATTCTGTTCCAACAACTTGTCAACAAGATGTGTTTGCAATGGGTTTGTAGCAAGCTTGTTAACAAGTTGTAACACAACCACTTGTCAACAAGATGTGTTTGCAATAGGTTTGTAGCGAGCTTGTTAACAAGTTGTAACAATGCTGTCCAACAAGATGTGTTTGGGATAGGTTTGTAACAAGCTTGTTAGCAAGTTCTGCCAATGCTGTTGCAACAACTTGTCAACAAAATGTGTTTGGAATAGGTTTCTAGCAAGCTTGTTATAACAAGTCGTGACAAAGCTGTTCCAACAACTTGTCAACAAGATAGGTTTGTAGCAAGCTTGTTAACAAGTTGTAACAATGCTGTTCCAACAACTTGTCAGTAAGATGTGTGTGCAATAGGTTGTTAACAAGTTGTAACAATGCTGTTCCAACAACTTGTCTACAAGATGTGTTTGCAATAGGTTTGTAGCATGCTTGTTAACAAGTCGTGACAATGCTGTTCCAACTACTTGTCAACAAGATCTGTTTGCAATAGGTTTGTAGCAAGCTTGTTAACAAGTTATAACAATGCTGTTGCAACAACTTGTCAGCAAGATGTGTGTGCAATGGGTTTGTAGCAAGCTTGTTAAAGAGGCTGTCAAGTCCGTTCTGCTCATACGTTGTGCGTAGGCTTACATTCCAATGGTCGGGAGTCGACCGTTGGAATGTTATTAATATTTCGTATATTTTGAACTTTCTTGAATTGAATCTCTAGTCTGTATTCATTTACAAGCATAGCGAACCAGAAAATGTTAAAAATTTAGTATAATATATATCTAATCATATTTTACAACTGTAGCACTGAGTTCAAAATGGAAACAAAGCGTTTGTTTACATTACGGACTTGACAGCCTCTTTAACAAGTTGTGACAATGCTGTTCCAACAACTTGCCAACAAGATGTGTTTGCAACAGGTTTGTAGCAAGCTTGTCAACAAGTTGTAACAATTTTGTTATTTTATCAAGTTGCTACAAGGTTGTCACTCGCAACTTGTTAACAAATTGTTGATTTGCATGACGGTAACAAGTTGTTGGAACAACTTGTAACAATCTGTTGAGCTCAACAACCTTGCAGCAAATTGTCAACAGACCGTTGACAACTTGTCAACAAGCTGGGAACAAGCAGTGCGAAGTTGTTGGACAGCATTGTTGCTACAAGTCTGCTGCTGGTTTGTTGCAACTTGTGCGTATTTGCGCGTGTAGTGCGCACGTAAAAACGCAGAAGTGGTTACAAGTCTGCAAACAAGTTGTTACAAATCTGTTCACAAGCTGTCAACAAGTTGTGTTCGCACTGCTTGTTCCCAATTGTTGTAACAAGTTTGGAACAGGCTGTTAACAACTTGTAACAAGCTTGATGACATTATCAGACTTGTTACAAGGTTGTTCTAACAAGTCTGATGTTGGCGACACAAGGTTGTAACAATATTATTATATCATGACTGTATTGGACTTGTTGGAACAACTTTGCAGCAAGTCTGATAATATCAACACGCTTGCTACAAATTGTTAACAGCTTGTTCCAAACTTGTTGACAACTTGGGACAAGCAGTGCGAACACAACTTGTTGACGGCTTGTTGGCAGACTTGCTACAAGATGTGAGATTTCTGCGCGTGTGAACAATGCTATTCCAACAACTTGTCATCAGGATGTGTTCGCATTGCTTGTTGCAACTTGCTACAAAGTTGTTGAGCTCGACGCACTGGAACAACTTGTTATCGTCTTGCAATTCAACAATTTGTCAACAAGTTGTGAGTGACAACCTTGTAGCAACTTGATAAAATAACAACATTGTTACAACTTGTTGACAAGCTACAAGCATGTTGTGAACACATCTTGTTGACAAGTTGTGAGATTTCCACTTGTGTAACACTGCAATATTTCACGAGTGTTTTTTTTCTGGTTTCTTTCTATAGGAACCCTGAACCGTCTCCACGAAGTAGGAATGGCTGAAACTCGATAGTGAGTAATTAACCAATTTCAAATTAGCATGGCCAGAAATCACAAGACAAGACTATTCTATTTCCTTACTAATTTGAATATTATGTAAAATTATTAAGATAGCTGCACTAGTCATAGCAGATTCATTGACATATATTTTTAATCAGGCTGTTACTCTATCCTCCTTTCCTGATGAATGGAAAATGGCAAGAGTTATACCTCTCTACAAAAGTGGCCATCGAAATATACCTGGAAACTATAGGCCCATTTCAATTCTACCAACCATAAGCAAAATAATGGAACGAATATTATACAATCAACTTCACAATTATTTAGCTGAATTTGGACAACTAAGTGGTGCTCAATTTGGTTTCCGAAAATCTCACTCGACAACAACAGCTCTTTTAGACTGTACTAATGACTGGTATATTAATGTAGATAAAAAATGTTTAACCTCGTAGTTTTTATAGACATAAAAATTGATACTGTCAACCATGACATTCTACTGAAAAAGCCGGAATTTTATGGAATTAAAGGTCAAGCTCTTGACTTATTAAAATCATATCTCCCAAATCGACATCAAAAGTGTCAAGTAGAAAGTTTTGTTTCATCAAAACACTTGATTGAATGTGGTGTACCACAAAGTTCTATTTTGGGACCATTGGTGTTCTTGTTGTATATCAACGACTTACCCGAGTGTCTTAAAAATACAAGACCTCGGCTATTCGCTGATGATACAAACTTCACAGCCTCTAGTCACTCCATAGCTGATATTGAGATTGCAGTAAATTGTGATCTAGAAAACCTCAGGAACTGGTTAATGGCCAATAAACTTAGCTTGAATGTGGCTAAAACAGAATTTATGTTGATTGGTTCTCCACAAATGATAAGAAATGCTTCAAATTCTCAACCAAATATTTTAATTGAAAAATAACGAATCCAACAAGTGTGGGAACATCCAGAAATCTGGGAACAACAACTGATCAGCATTTATCTTGGAAGCCTAATACCGAAAATATTTGCCAAAAAATAACATCAGGGCGGGCCGGTTGTATAAAAAAGTGATTAAAGTTAACTATAGTTAGTGGAAACGTCATCCAATAAGAAGCGCGTATTTGAGAGTTAATCACTATTTAACTACAAAATAGTGATTAAAAAAGTGATTCAGAGTTTTATACAACCGGCTAGGGGTGCACCGGATTTCAAATCCGGCCGGAATTCCGGCCGGATTTAACGAATTTTCCGGCATCCGGCCGGATTTAAATTTCTGTCTTCACCTTAAAAAATTCACCAAGAATGGGATAAACCATCAATTTGGCAGCTTTAAAGTTAAAAAACACTTATATTATTATAAAATATTAAGTTATTAACAAAAAGATGTTTAAAAAAGGTTTAAACACAATCAAAAATCTAAACTGACACTAACTAAAAATAGTAAAAAACATAAACCGTCATTTTGAATACTGATTTATCCCCAATTGTCCCCATTACCGGTTTATCTCAAATCCGGCCGGAATTCCGGCCGGAATTTTAGTCCAAATCCGGTAAATCCGGTTCCGGCCGGATTTGAAAATTCCAAATCCGGTGCACCCCTACAACCGGCCCCTGGAGTCTCAACTCTTCGTCGTGTCAAACCATTTATTGCTGAAAGAGATACACTTATCTCCATATACAATGCCATCGTACGTCCCTACTTCGATTATTGTTCTGAAGTTTGGGATGTATTTGGGGAAATATTCAATCTAAACGACTACAAAAGCTGCAAAACAGAGCTGCTCGAACTATTTCAAATATGAGCAATGATGTAGATCATTCTATTGCTTTATGTGCCTTAGGGTGGAAGCCACTTGATATCATGAGAAAAAAGGCAAAAGCAACAATGATGTACAAAACTCTAAATTGGATAGGCCCCGAATCTCTCACAAACCTCTTTATTTATAAAAATGAGATAACAAATTATAGACTCCGAAGTATTTCAAGTGGTCTTTGTCTGCCACAACCACGCACCAATAGCATGAAAAATAGTTTCATGTATGATGCTGCTAAGCTATGGAACTCTATTCCAAATGAAATTAGGGAAAGCAAATCTCTGTGATGCTTTCAAAAGAATATTGCTGCTCACATGTTCTAAATAAATATACTAATAGTTCTACCATTCGTAAATAACTATTCTACTATTTCTATACTATTTGTAAATAACTATTCATGTAACTACGTTTATACTACTGTAATTTCTTTCCTACTACTGTAATTTCTTTCCTACTACTGTTATTTCTTTCCTACTACTGTAATTTTCTTCTTGCACGCGATCGTGACTAAAACACCACACGAGTACATACGAGTAACATACGAGTACATACGAGTAACATACGAGTACATACGAGTAACATACGAGTAAATACGAGTACATACGAGTACATACGAGTAAAATACGAGTAAAATACGAGTACATACGAGTAAAATACGAGAATTAGCACGCTTTCTTTAAAGTTTCTTTCACTTTCACACTTTCACTTTGGCTTTGTATTATGTTCATGTTGTAAATGCCTTATTGACATAGGCGTACGAGACAGGGGGTAGGGGGGGGGGGGCAACTGCCCCCCAAAATTGTGGAAAACCATGGAAATTCGGACAAACGCTAGGAAAAATCAAGAAAATTCGAGCAGATTTATGAGAAAATATGTTAAAATCAGGTTATTTCTTTACAATTCTCCATAAAAATTCAGGCAAACTTTCAACACCCCCCCCCCCAGAAAACATCAGCCCCGTTCTCCCATGCGTATTGATGGATTTCGAAGCCTCGCACGACGTAGAAAAAGTAATTAATTAATATATATAGAATAAAGATTTGTATGTTCTAAGACTCTGAAAAGGTTTAAATGTAGTATATTGCTCACAGGCTGTCAGAGAGCTTTTGTAGTACATGAAAGTGCATGTTTGCCATGTTGTTTATACGTCTGTAGTCTATGTGTTTTGCAAATTTAATACGTGAATTGTACACCGGGAAATATAAAATACTTAGGGTTCATTATTTATCGGTTGGGGAGGGGGGAAGGAGCTGTTGGATTCTAAAATTCAAACAACATAATAAAAATGACCCTCCCTTTTAATGTGTTTAAAAATGTAGTCCACCCCTTTAGAACAGTCTGAAAATTTTTCACCCCCCTCCAACAATAAAGTTAAGAAGAACATAGTATGGCCGTATGGTAGTTCTTCCCATCCTATTCTTTTGTGTGCTCTTTACAACCAGGGGGGTAGAGAGGACCTTCAACTTGGGGATGCTGGACAGGATTTAGCCAACAGGGGGAGGGGGTGCGAAATAAAATCTAAATCCACAATATAATTGTGTATAATCTTGTCTAAGTAAGTAGATATGGCCCCAAGAAGAAAGGGTTTACTTTGGGTTTTTAAATGTAAAATATATTTACTTTCAATCATCATTCGGTTTTAAAAGTAATTCGCATTATTTTAACCCATCATTTTCCATCACGAAAAATCATGTCTTTTATGCATTATACAGTTTTCGGACTTATGCAAACTCACACCCCGAAAATGCAGGAAATCGCATTTCAGGGACCCTAGATTTCAAAATATTCTGGGGAGCATGCCCCCAGACCTCCACTAAAATGGCTCCCGCCTTTTGCGCTGGCTACGCCACTATCTCTATACTATCTTCTTTATATCAATGCTATAAAATTTTATTGTCTCCCCAAAACACTTCTTCAAAAGATTTAAACCACT